ACGTCGTACGTCGTACGTCGTACGTCGTGCGTCGCACGTCGTCGTCGTGGTCGTCGTCGTCGTATGTCGTCGTCGACGTCGGCGTCGTCGTCGTACGACGTACGTCGTCGTCGTCGTCGTACGTCATACGTCGTACGTCGTCGTCGTCGTACGTCGTACGTCGTACGTCGCATGTCGTCGTCGACGTCGTACGTCGTCGTCGTACGACGTACGTCGTCGTACGTCGTACGTCGTACGTCGTGCGTCGTACGTCGTCGTCGACGTACGTCATACGTCGTCGTCGTCGTCGTCGTACGTCGTCGTACGTCGTACGTCGTCGTTGTCGTACGTCGTACGTCGTACGTCGTACGTCGTCGTCGTCGTCGTCGTCGTACGTCGTCGTCGTTCCTCGTACGTCGTACGTCGTACGTCGTACGTCGTACGTCGTCGTTGTCGTCGTCGTCGTCGTCGTCGTACGTGTACGTCGTACGTCGTTGTCGTTGTACGTCGTACGTCGTACGTCGTCGTCGTAGACGTACGTCGTACGTCGTACGTCGTCGTCGTCGTCGTCGTCGTCGTACGTCGTACGTCGTACGTCGTTGCCGTGTACGTCGTACGTCGTACGTCGTTGTCGTTGTACGTCGTACGTCGTACGTCGTCGTCGTCGTCGTACGTCGTACGTCGTACGTTGTCGTCGTCGTCGTTCGTCGTACGTCGTTGTCGTTGTACGTCGTACGTCGTACGTCGTCGTCGTAGGCGTACGTCGTACGTCGTACGTCGTCGTAGACGTACGTCGTACGTCGTCGTACGTCGTACGTCGTACGCCGTCGTCGTCGTACGTCGTACGTCGTACGTCGTCGTCGTCGTACGTCGTACGTCGTACGTCGTTGTCGTTGTACGTCGTACGTCGTACGTCGTCGTCGTGGACGTACGTCGTACGTCGTCGTCGTCGTCGTCGTCGTCGTCGTCGTATTTCGTGTACGTCGTACGTCGTTGTCGTTGTACGTCGTACGTCGTACGTCGTCGTCGTAGGCGTACGTCGTACGTCGTACGTCGTCGTCGTCGTCGTCGTCGTCGTCGTCGTCGTACGTCGTACGTGGTACGTCGTTGCCGTGGTACGTCGTACGTCGTACGTCGTTGCCGTTTTACGTCGTACGTCGTACGTCGTCGTCGTCGTCGTACGTCGTACGTCTTACGTCGTCGTCGTCGTCGTTCGTCGTACGTCGTTGTCGTTGTACGTCGTACGTCGTACGACGTCGTGGTAGACGTACGTCGTACGTCGTACGTCGTCGTAGGACGTACGTCGTACGTCGTCGTACGTCGTACGTCGCACGTCGTCGTCGTCGTACGTCGTACGTCGTACGTCGTTGTCGTTGTACGTCGTACGTCGTACGTCGTAGTCGTTGTACGTCGTACGTCGTACGTCGTAGACGTCATCGTACGTCGTACGTCGTCGTCGTCGTCGTCGTCGTCGTCGTCGTCGTCGTACGTGTACGTCGTACGTCGTTGTACGTCGTACGTCGTACGTCGTCGTCGTAGACGTACGTCGTACGTCGTACGTCGTCGTCGTCGTCGTCGTCGTCGTCGTACGTCGTACGTCGTACGCCGTTGCCGTGGTACGTCGTACGTCGTACGTCGTTGTCGTTGTACGTCGTACGTCGTACGTCGTCGTCGTAGACGTACGTCGTACGTCGTCGTCGTCGTCGTTCGTCGTACGTCGTTGTCGTTGTACGTCGTACGTCGTACGACGATCGTCGTAGGTCGTACGTCATACGTCGTACGTCGTCGTAGACGTACGTCGCCTTACTAGTCGTCGTACGTTCCGTAAGTCGTTTACGTCGTCGTCGTCGTAGTCGTACGTCGTACGTCGTCGTCGTCGTACGTCGTACGTGTCGGTCGTTTTTGTCGGTGTACGTCGTTACGTCGTACGTCGGTCGTCCGTCGGACGTCTCGTAACCCGTCGTCGTCGTCGTCGTACGTGTACGTCTGTACGTCGTCGTCGTCGTACGTCGTACGTCGTACGTCGTCGTCGTAGACGTACGTCGTACGTCGTCGTCGTCGTCGTCGTCGTCGTACGTGTACGTCGTACGTCGTTTCCGTGTTACGTGTACGTCGTAAGGCGTTGTCGTTGTTGGTCGTACGTCGTACGTCGTTCCGTTGCCGTGTACGTCGTACGTCGTCGTGTCGTTTCGTCGTACGTCGTTTGTCGATATGTACGTCGTACGTCGTACGTCGTACGTCGTACGTCTTCGTCGACGTACGTCGTAGTCGTCGTACGTCGTACGTCGTACGTCGTCGTCGATCGTAGTCGTAGTCGTCAGTACGTCGGTGTAGTGTTGTCGTACGTATACCCAAGTATGTTCGTTGTCGTTGTACGTCGTACGTCGTTAAGTCGTGACGTCGTCGTACGTCGTACGTCGTCGTCGTCGTCGTCGTTGTACGTGTACGTTCGTACGTCGTTGTCGTTATGTACGTCGTACGTCGTTACGTCGTGACGACGTCGTCGTCGACGTACGTCGTACGTCGTACGTCGTCGTCGTCGTTCGTTCGTCGTACGTCGTACGTCGTACGTCGTACGTCCTTGCCTTGGTACGTCGTACGTCGTACGTCGTTGTCGTTGTACGTCGTACGTCGTGCGTCGTCGTTGTCGTCGTACGTCGTACGTCGTACGTTGTCGTCGTCGTCGTCGTCGTTCGTCGTACGTCGTTGTCGTTGTACGTCGTACGTCGTACGACGTCGTCGTAGACGTACGTCATACGTCGTCGTCGTCGTAGAGGTACGTCGTGCGTCGTCGTACGTCGTACGTCGTACGTCGTCGTCGTCGTCGTACGTCGTACGTCGTACGCCGTCGTCGTCGTCGTCGTACGTCGTACGTCTTACGTCGTTGCCGTGGTACGTCGTACGTCGTACGTCGTTGTCGTCGTCGTACGTCGTACGTCGTACGTCGTCGTCGTCGTCGTCGTCGTCGTAAGTGTACGTCATACGTCGTTGTCGTTGTACGTCGTACGTCGTACGGCGTACGTCGTAGACGTACGTCGTACGTCGTACGTCGTTCGTCGTCATCGTCGTTCGTCGTACGTCGTACGTCGTTGCCGGTTGTACGTCGTACGTGTAACGTGTTGTCGTTGGTACGTTCGTACGTCGTACGACGTCGTACGTCGTGTCGTTGACGTACGTCGTACGTCGTACGACGTCGTCGTCGTTGTTCGTCATACGTACGTTGTTGTCGTTGTACGTCGTACGTTCGGGTTACGACGTCGTTCGTAGACGTACGTCGTATGTCGTAGTCGTCGTCGTAGAGTACGTCGTCCGTAGTGTACGTCGTACGTCGTACGTCGTCGTCGTGTCGTACGTTCGTACGTTGTACGTCGTACGTCGTACGTCGTTGTCGTTGTACGTCGTACGTCGTACGTCGTAGACGTCGTCGTACGTCGTACGTCGTACGTCGTCGTCGTCGTCGTCGTCGTCGTACGTGTACGTCGTACGTCGTTGTCGTTGTACGTCGTACGTCGTACGTCGTCGTCGTTAGACGTACGTCGTACGTCGATACGTGTCGTCGTCTCGTTGTCGTACGTCGTACGTCGTACGTCGTTGCGTTGGTCGTAGTACGTCGTAACGTCGTTCGTCCATGTCGTCGTCGTCGTTCGTCGTACGTCGTTGTCGTTTCGTACGCCGTACGTCGTACGCACGTCGTCGTAGTACGTACGTGTACGTCGTACGTCGTCGTAGGACGTAGTCGTACGTCGGCGTGCGTCGTACGTGTACGTCGTCGTACGTGTACGTCGTAAGTCTTACTTCGTCGTCGTTGGGGGCTCTCAGAAACCCTTTTTCCATAGTTGTACGTCGTACGCCATTCCGCCGTGTAGACGTCGGTCGTACGTCGTACGTCGTACGTCGTCGTGTGTCGTCGTCGTCGTACGTGTACGTCGTACGTCGTTGTCGTTGTACGTCGTTACGTCGTACGTCGTCGTCGTAGACGTACGTCGTACGTCGTACGTCGTCGTCGTCGTCGTCGTCGTCGTCGTCGTCGTCGTCGTCGTACGTCGTACGTCGTACGTCGTTGCCGTGGTACGTCGTACGTCGTACGTCGTACGTCGTACGTCGTTGTCGTCGTAGACGTACGTCGTACGTCGTCGTACGTCGTACGTCGTCGTCGTCGTACGTCGTACGTCGTCGTCGTCGTCGTCGTACGTCGTACGTCGTACGTCGTACGTCGTACGTCGTACGTCGTTGTACGTCGTACGTCGTACGTCGTAGACGTCGTACGTCGTACGTCGTCGTCGGCGGACGCTCGGAGGACGGCCTCGGCCTCCGCGCGACGCCGCGCCTCGCCCTGCGGCCGGCGGGGCCTCGCGGTGGCCCTGTTCCAGGCGCGGAGGGCAGAGGGCAACGCCAGGGGAATGGGCGCGGGGGGATTCGACTACACGTAAGCGTGACGTTTCGCCGGAGTGACCTTTGGTGCGGGCCCATTGGGGTCCCCCTATGGCCGAACGCGATTTGGCAGTAGCGTTTGGCGCGCTTTGCCCCCCGCGGCCCCCAGAAAGCCGCGCACCAAAGGTCACTCTTACCCAGAGCCGCTCTTGCGTAGCAGAAGGACGAGGTCAGAGGGCAACGCCAGGGGGACGGGGATAACCAAGCCAAGCCGACCTCGGCGCACGCGTGGTGGCCCGGGGTGGGGGAGGGGGGCAGGCTTCTTGGAAGGAGGCTGCTTCTCAGATGGCGCGGGTCTTACATCTTCCCCCCTCCCCCTACCCCCCTTTGCGCGTCGCCAAACTATGACGGGGATGAATCCGTTCCAGAGCGTTCCAGAACGCTTTCAGAGCGTTCCCGAACTCTCGGAGAAGGCCGCGGCTCCCGAGACCTTCAGAGCCGCTGGATCTTAGAGACTCTCGCTTTATCCTCACTCGATGTTATCCTCGTCCTGGCATCTTCTTAGATAGGAGCTCGTTTTTTTTAATCGTCCAACCCGCAACGTCCATTGCTGGGGGTCGCCCTCCCCCCGCCCCCCGTAACGTCCCCGAACGTACGGGGGAGGGGGCGGCCCTCCACAGGTATGGCGCCGTGCTCACGGGCATGGTGTGGTGCTGACAGGCACGGGAGGGCCTTCGAACGCCTCCAGAGGCCTCTGGAGACCTCCTACGGGGGACCATCAGGGGATGCTAAGGTGGGTCGTATCTGGCAAACTCTCGCTTATCAGTGGGTTACACATGCCCCAAGTGGCTTAGGGGGGTTAGTGATCCGAGCTCATGGGGCTCCGCTCACTTGGCGGAGTTGTTCAGCCCCTCTAAGTCACTTGGGTTTTGTGTAACCCATTTATATGCGAGGTTGGGTCATATCCCTCCTTGGCATCCACTGATAATCCTCCTATCCCCTCAGCAACCCCCGCGCCCATACCAGTAGGGAGGGATTATTCTCTTGCACAGTTGTGTTCTACAGTTCGGAGCACTTTACTTTCGAGGTCTTTCGTTCGTTCGCTCGTCGCCCCCCAAGCCACCCTACCCCTGATTCGTCATGGTCGCGATGGCCCCAAGAGAATACCAGGACAGCTCCGAGAACACCCCCTCCTAACCCCGCTTCTCCTGGCCCTCGCTCTCCCTCGCGCAAGGGCCAGGGCATGCGTGCCACTTGTTGGGCTCCAGGTTTTCGAGGCTTCCTGGCGTTTTCGTCAGTTCTCGGCGGCTTTCTAGCCTCCGGAGGCCTTCCAGCGGCTGCGCCTCGCCGAGAGCGCTCCAGGGATGCTCGGATCCTTCCGAACGGACGCCCGAGGCCCGAGTCATGACGCGAAAGCCATCAGGGGATAGGCTCAGGGGGAGATGCGTCGACCCCAATCGCCCTCTCATCGCCGATAGGGGCCTGATAGCCTACCCCGCCCAGGAGCGTCGGCATTCGCCATCGGGGCCTCTTGCCGACGCATCGGCGATGTATCGCAGATTCCAGCTCGATGTTTCTCCCCTTGCGCCGCGGTTGTCTCGACTGGGCCTGATCCAGGCTCGGAGGAGGACCAGTCGAGATAGCAGCGGTTCTCCCCCCAGACCTCCACCACATTGAGAAAGCAATACGGAGGTTTCCTGTAGTCCTCGGCGTCTGGGGGCCCCCGCTGGGCCCTGGGCCGTCAACAAAAAGATCCAGGACGAAACAGCTAGCCCTCGCGGGAAGTGGTCCAGAGCTCCTGGGATCCCGTACTGAAACATGAAGACATCGGATTTTTACCTAACAGCGAAGACTGATCGGTTTCTAGTAGGGTCAAAAGAGAGCATCATGACGCCCCAGGGGGGTCTGGGCGCGATCCGGGGGAGTGCCGGGGACTTCGTGGTCTTCGAGGTCCCGGAACTCCATTCCCGGGCCACATTTTGAATGCCCGGAGCCAACTGTAGGCCACTTCGTGCTCTTCGAGTTCCCAGAACTCCATTCCCGGGCCACATTTTGAATGCCCGGAGCCAACTGTAGGCCACTTCGTGGTCTTCGAGTTCCCAGAACTCAATTCCCGGGCCACATTTTGAATGCCCGTAGCCAACTGAGGCTGAGGCAGGCTGCTGCTGAGGCAGGCTGAGGCTGAGGCTGAGGCAGGCTGAGGCTGAGGCAGGCTGAGGCTGAGGCTGAGGCTGAGGTTGAGGCTGAGGCTGAGGCAGGCTGAGGCAGACGCTGAGGCAGGCTGATGCTGAGGCAGGCTGAGGCTGAGGCTGAGGCTGATGCAGGCTGAGGCTGAGGCTGAGGAAAAGGTTGAGGCTGAGGCTAAGGTTGAGGCTGAAGCTGAAGCAGGCTGAGGCTGAGGCTGAGGCAGGCTGAGGCTGAGGCTGAGGCAGGCTGATGCTGAGGCAGGCTGAGGCTGAGGCTGAGGCTGATGCAGGCTGAGGCTGAGGCAGGCTGAGGCTGAGGCCGAGGCTGAAGGCAGACTGCGGCTGAGGCTGAAGCAGGCTGAGGCTGAGGCTGAGGCAGGCTGAGGCTGAGGCTGAGGCAGGCTGAGGCTGAGGCAGGCTGAGGCTGAGGCCGAGGCTGAAGGCAGACTGAGGCTGAGGCTGAAGCAGGCTGAGGCTGAGGCTGAGGCAGGCTGAGGCTGAGGCAGGCTGATGCTGATGCAGGCTGAGGCTGAGGCTGAGGCTGATGCAGGCTGAGGCTGAGGCAGGCTGAGGCTGAGGCCGAGGCCGACGGCAGACTGAGGCTGAGGCTGAAGCAGGCTGAGGCTGAGGCAGAGGCAGGCTGAGGCTGAGGCTGAGGCTGAGGCAGGCTGATGCTGAGGCAGGCTGAGGCTGAGGATGAGGCTGATGCAGGCTGAGGCTGAGGCAGGCTGAGGCTGAGGCCGAGGCTGAAGGCAGACTGAGGCTGAGGCTGAAGCAGGCTGAGGCTGAGGCTGAGGCTGAGGCAGGCTGAGGCTGAGGCTGAGGCAGGCTGATGCTGAGGCAGGGTGAGGCTGAGGCTGAGGCTGATGCAGGCTGAGGCTGCGGCAGGCTGAGGCTGAGGCCGAGGCTGAAGGCAGACTGAGGCTGAGGCTGAAGCAGGTCGAGGCTGAAGGCAGACTGAGGCTGAGGCTGAAGCAGGCTGAGGCTGAGGCTGAGGCTGAGGCTGAGGCTGAGGCAGGCTGAGGCTGAGGCGAGGCTGAGGCTGAGGCTGATACAGGCTGAGGCTGAGGCAGGCTGAGGCTGAGGCCGAGGCTGAAGGCAGATTGAGGCTGAGGCAGGCTCGAGGCTGAGGCAGGCTGGAGGCTGAGGCTGAGGTGAGGCTGAGGCAGGCTGAGGACGGCTGATGCTGAGGCCGAGGGCCGACGCTGCCGACGGCAGAGCTGAGCTGAGGTCTGAAGGGCAGACTAGATGCTCTGTGAGGTGAGCAGGCTCTGAGGCTGAGGCTGAGGCGAGGCTCAGGCTGAGGCAGAGGCAGGCTATGAGGCTGATGGCTGGAGGGAGGCTGAGGCTGAGGCTGAGGCAGGCTGATGCTGAGGCAGGCTGAGTCGAGGCTGCGGCAAAGGCTGGATGCAGGGTCAGGCTGAAGGCCGGCTGAGGTGAGGCCGAGGCTGAAGGCAGGACTGAGTTGATGGCTGAAGCAGGCTGAGGCTGAGGGCTGAGGCAGGCTGAGGCTGAGGCAGGCTGAGGCTGAGGCTGAGGCAGGCTGAGGCTGAGGCTGTGACTGCGACTGCCGTTGCCACTGCGACTGCCATCGCGAATGCGATTACGACTGCGAGAACAGCAGAATTCTACAACAGGATTCTCATCTAAATCTTAAGGGGAATGCTTTCAGATATGCTCCTACACATCCCTGTTAGGTTGCTTTGCCGGGATCATTTACCTAACAGCGAAGACTGATAGGTTTCTAGTAGGGTCAAAAGAGAGCATCATGACGCCCCAGGGGGGTCTGGGCGCGATCCGGGGGAGGATGCCGGGGGGATGCCGGGGAAGTCGTTTTAAGCAAACAGTGACGCACTTCGTGGTCTTCGAGTTCCCAGAACTCCATTCCTGGGAATGATTCTGAATGCCCGGAGCCAACTGTAGGCCACTTCGTGCTCTTCGAGTTCCCAGAACTCCATTCCCGGGCCACATTTTGAATGCCCGGAGCCAACTGTAGGCCACTTCGTGTTCTTCGTGTTCCCAGAACACCATTCCCGGGCCACATTTTGAATCGCCCTGGATGCCAACTGTAGGACCACTTCGTTGTTCTTCGTGTTCCCAGAACACCATTTCCCGGGCCACCTTTTGAATGCCCGGAGCCAACTGTAGGCCACTTCGTGTTTTTCTAGTTCCCAGAACCCCATTCCCGGGCCACATTTTGAATGCTGAGGCAGGCTGAGGCTGAGGCTGAGGCAGGCTGATGCTGAGGCAGGCTGAGGCTGAGGCTGATGCAGGCTGAGGCAGAGGCAGGCTGAGACTGAAGCCGAGGCTGAAGGCAGATTGAGGCTGAGGCTGAGGCAGAGGCAGGCTGAGGCTGCGGCTGAGGCAGGCTGATGCTGAGGCAGGCTGAGGCTGAGGCCGAGGCTGAAGGCAGACTGAGGCTGAGGCTGAAGCAGGCTGAGGCTGAGGCTGAGGCTGGCTGAGGTTGAGGCTGAGGCTGAGGCTGATGCAGGCTGAGGCTGAGTCTGAGGCTGATGCAGGCTGAGGCTGAGGCAGGCTGAGGCTGAGGCTGAGGCCGAGGCAGGCTGAGGCTGAGGCCGAGGCAAGCCCAGGCAGGCTGAGGCTGAGGCTGAAGCTGAGGCAGGCTGAGGCTGAGGCTGAGGCTGTGGCTGAGGCTGAGGCAAGTTGCGGCTGAGGCTGAGGCTGAGGCTGAGGCAGGCTGAGGCTGAGGCTGACTGAGGCTGAGGCTGAAGCTGAGGCAAGCTGCGGCTGAGGCAGGCTGAGGCTGAGGCTGATGCAGGCTGAGGCTGAGGCAGGCTGAGGCTGAGGCTGAGGCAGGCTGAGGCTGAGGCTGAGGCTGAAGCTGAGGCCGGCGAGGCTGAGGCTTGTGGCTGTGGCTGAGCTGAGGCAAGCTGCGCTGAGGCAGCTGATGGCTGATGGCTGATTCAGCTGATTGGCTGTGGCAGGCGAGGCTGAGGTGAGGCTGATAGGCCGAGGCAGGCTGAGGACTGAGGCCGAGGCAAGCCAGGCAGGCTGAGAGGGCTTGGGCTGATGACAGCTGAGGAGGCTTGAGTGAGGCTGAGGCTGTTTATTCTCTGGCTGAGGCTGAGGCAAAGTTCGGCTGAGGTGAGGCCGCGGCTCTGAGGCTGAGGCAGGCTGTGCTGGGCTGGAGGCCGATCGGTCTGTACAGCACTGACGCTGAGGTGAGGCAGGCTAGAGGCTGAGGCTGAGGCCGAGCAGGCATTGAGGCTGAGGTGACTGAGCTGAGCTAAGCGAGCAGGCTGATGGCTGAGGCTGAAGCTGAGGCAGGCTCGAGGCTGAGGGCTGAGGCTTGTAGAAAACTGAGGCTGAGGCATGCTGAGACTGAGGCTGAGGCAGGCTGAGGCTGAGGCTGAGGCTGATGCAGGCTGAGGCTGAGAGGCTGACGCTGAGACTGAGGCAGGCTGAGGCTGAGGCTGAGGCCGAGGCAGGCTGAGGCTGAGGCCGAGGCAAGCCGAGGCAGGCTGAGGCTGAGGCTGAGGCTGAGGCTGAGGCTGAGGCTGAGGCTGAGGCTGAGGCAAGGCTGAGGCAAGGCTGCTGAGGCTGAGGCAGGCTGAGGCTGGCTGAGGCAGGCTGAGGCTGAGGCAGGCTGAGGCTGAGGCTGAGGCCGAGGCAGGCTGAGGCTGAGGCCGAGGCAAGCCGAGGCAGGCTGAGGCTGCGACTGCGAGAACAGCAGAATTCTACAACTGGATTCTCACCTAAATCTTAAGGGAAATGCTTCCAGATATGCTTCTACACATCGCTGTTAGGTTGCTTTGCCGGGATAATTTCATGACATGGACCCCCTTTAATATTGAGCCGTTTTTTGACGGCCGGCAGGCCCGGCAGTGAGGACCCTTGGAGGCCGAACATCGCCCAAACCTGTCCGCCGTTGTCGTTTCACTTCGCGAGGACGTCAGGGCAGGAGGGGTCAATGGGGCCGACTTCGAGCGGATCTGGGCCAGGCGGGAGAGCCGTCGTTCGTCTCAGCTTCTCGTGGGCGAGAGACATGTCCGTGTCCGCGGCCTCGCGGGCCGGGCCCGTGGGCCGCGACCCCAAGGACACGGGGCGTCTTTTTCTTTTTTCGCGGATGCCCCGCGCGGAGCGTACCCGCGGGACCGCGTATCCGCGGGATCGCACCCCAGAATCCAGACCGCGAGGGCGCGGATATAGATTTTCCCCTCGGGGAGGAGGAGGGGGAGAAGGAGGAGGAGGAGGAGGAGGAGGAGGAGGAGGAGGAGGAGGAGGAAATATCCGCCACTCGTGAGCTGCGGATTTGTTGGCCAGGCGCTCGACGTGCGCGGCGCGGGCCGGCTGCTTCCGGGCCAGCTGCGCCCCTACGCGGAGATGTGCGGCTTCGTGGGCGACGAGGAGGACCCAGCGGGGCTGGGCTGGAAGGGGGCCCCTTCTTCTCCAGATAGATCCCTAGATCTCTGGCGTTTTTTTTTTTTTTTTTTTTTTTTGTTTGTTGTTGTTGTTGTTGTTGTTGTTGTTATTGTTGTTGTTGTGGTTGTGGTTGTGGTTGTGGTTGTGGTTGTGGTTGTGGTTGTGGTTGTGGTTGTGGTTGTTGTGGTTGTTGTGGTTGTTGTGGTTGTTGTTGTTGTTGTTGTTGTTGTTGTTGTGGTTGTGGTTGTGGTTGTGGTTGTGGTTGTGGTTGTGGTTGTGGTTGTGGTTGTTGTGGTTGTTGTTGTTGTTGTTGTTGTTGTTGTTGTTGTTGTTGTTGTTGTTGTTGTTGTGTTTTTCTCCAATTTGGGCGTTCGTCCCCGATTTCGGTCCTCGGGGGCCATGATCGGGCCCAGGAGTGATATCAGAAATGGACCTGGGGGCGAGAAACTACCCTCGGGGAATGCGTCGGGACCTCTGGGGGCGCGGATCGAAAAAGTAAGATCCTCGGATGTCTGGGTCTGCCGATAGCATCTTGCGAAGCTCACGACGGAACACTCTTCAGGTTTTCGGCTTCCGGGAGCCCTCGCTGGGCCCAGGACCGTCAATCGACGGTTCGGGGTGGAACGCCGGTCCCAGGGAAGGGGTCCAGACCTCCGCCAAGATCCGACGACGCGGCAAGATTGCAACATCGGGAAAAGTCACGACCAGAGCCTCGGACCCCACATCTGAAAGAGCGTGTTCTACCGCTGCTGGCGGAAAACCGGGGGGGGTCACTACCGGTTCGAACCCCTCCCCCCCCCTGCGGAAAACCGGGCGGGGTCACTACCGGTTCGAACCCCCCCCCCTTCCCCCCCCTCGAAAACCAGGGGGGGTCAATTCCGGTTCGACCCCCCTCCCCCCCTCGAAAACCGAGGGGGGTGCGGACAGTGGTGGGGACGGTGGTGGTGGGGACAGTGGTGAGGGGACAGCGGGACAGTGGTGGGGACAGTGGGACAGTGGTGGGGACGGTAGTGGTGGGGACAGTGGTGAGGACAATGGTGGGAACAGTGGGGACAGTGGACAGTGGTGGGGACGGTGGTGGTGGGGACAGTGGTGTGGGGACAGTGGGAATGTGGTGGAAACAGTGGGACAGTGGAGGGTACAGTGGTGGTGGGGACAGTGGTGAAGGCGGTGGCGAGGACGGCGGTGGGACAATGGGACAGAGGTGCAGTGGGGACAGTGGTGGGGACAGTGGGGACAGTGGTGGGAACAGTGGGACAGCGGAGGAGTCAGTGGGACAGTGGGGACAGTGGGGATAGTCGGGCAGTGGTTGGGGCCGTGGAGAAAGTGGGGAGAGTGGAACCGTGGTGGGAGCAGTGGCGGGGACAATGGGGACAGTGCGACAGTGGTGGGGGCACTGGTGGGGACAGTAGGGACGGTGGTGGAACCAGTGGGGACAGTGGTGGTGAGGACAGTGGTGCTGGGAACAACAGTGGGGGATGTGGTGCGGACGGCGGTCGGGACTGGGAGTCGTTTGCTGGCGGTGAGGGGGTGGTAGTGACCCCCCCTCCGGTTTTCGAGGGGGGGGGGTGTTCGAACCGGTAGTGACCCCCCGGAGGCCATCAAGAGGCTCCCAAGAAGCCCCGTGAGGCTCCCAAGAGGCCCCCCAGAAGCCCCAATAGGCCCCCAAGGGACCCTGCTTCCGCCCACCGCCCCAACCATGTTTCCAATAGGCTTGCCGACACGGCCAAAAGGCGCCCCTCGGTAAGCCCCCAGAGGCTCCCCTCTTAGAGAGCCGAACAAATCATGCTCCGGGAAAGCTTCCTGGGAACATGATTCTCTATCTCGGAGTAGGCCCGGAGGGGGGTTCCAAAAGTGGCCGCTGGCATGCCCCAGGACGCGCTCAAGTAGCACAGCGGGCGTCACCCCTGAAAAATCATAACATCGCGCGCTGAGAACTTGTTTGCCTGTCTGCGAGATTGGTCAATTTGTTTCTTGGCATTTTCACTTCACGAGGGGGCGGGCGGGCCGCTGCCTGTTCCCCCCATCGGTGCCCACCGGGGTTTGCGGGGGGGGGTCCAGAGCTCCCGAGGCGGCCCGAGCCCGCCCCGAAGCAGGCCACGACAGGCTAAGGGGGTCCCGAGAGGGCCCAAGACGGTCCCACGAGGCCCCGAAGACGCCCAAACTGCCCTCAAGACGGCCGACGAGGACTCCAACACGCTCCAGGACGGACTCAAGAGGCTCCCCAAGAGGGCCCTGGAAGGTAAGATTCACTCGTTTTCCGAGTGTTTTGGACTTTGGCGTTCTCGCTTTTCCCGCTTTCTAGCGCTCCCCCACGGCCTCGGAGGCCCTTCAGATCGCTCCAAGACGAGCCACGAGGCGGCCCCGACGAGGGCCCCAAGACGGCCCAGGATGCTCCCCAGACAACCCAAGTGTGCCCCAAGAGCGCGCCAAGAGAAGGCCCAGAGGGGTCCCGAGGCGGCCCGGGCCCGCCCCGAAGCAGGCCACGACAGGCTAATGGAGGTCCCGAGAGGGCCCTAGACGGTCCCAAGAGGCCCCGAAGACGCCCAAGCTGCCCTCAAGACGGCCGACGAGGACTCCAACACGCTCCAGGACGGACTCAAGAGGCTCCCCAAGAGGGCCCTGGGAGGCAAGATTCACTAATTTTCCGATGGTTTTTGAAGGATTTAGGCGTTCTCGCTTTCCCCGCTTCCCAGCGCTCCCTCACGGCCTCGCTCGGAGGCCCTTCAGATCGCTCCAAGACGGGCCACGAGGCCCCGAAGAGGGCCCCAAGACGGCCCAGGAGGCTCCCCAGACAACCCAACTGTGCCCCAAGAGCTCCCCAGCAGAGGGCCCAGAGGGGGACCGCGAACCGATATTTCTATGTCTCTGGCCCTAGAGGCCGCCTGTAGGCCCCCAGAGGCCACCAAGAGGCTCCCACGAAGCCCCGTGAGGCGCCCCAGAGGCCTGCAGGAAGCCCCAAGAGACCCCCAAGGGGCTCCCAGGGAACGCCCAAGAGGCCCCCAAACACACCCCAAGAAATCATGTCCTCAGAAAACCTTCCGGGGACATGGTTCATCATGGGCCCGAGAGTTCCCGGAGGCCCCAAAGGGGCCCCCCAGGGAACGCACAAGAGACCCCCCTAACACACCCCAACAAACCATGTCCCCAGAAAGCCTTCCTGGGACACGGTTCATCATGGGCCCGCGAGCCTCTGGAGGCTTCGAAGTACCATCATGCTACAGGAGAGCTGTCTGGGAAGTTGACTGGGAACATGACTGATCGCCTTCTCGCGGCCCTCCGCAGATTTTTTCGCACAAAGTTGCCCCAAGTGCCCTCTTGAACCGACGACGACGAGACGACGAAGACGACGACGACGATGACGACGGCGACGAGGGCGACGAGGGCGACGACGACGACGACGACGACGACGACGACGACGACGACGACGACGACGGCGACGGCGCGCCCCAATAGGCGACGACGACATTACGACGACGACGACGACGACGACGACGACGACGACGACGACGACGACGACGACGACGACGACGACGACGACGACGACGACGACGACGACGACGACGACGACGACGACGACGACGGCACGCCCCTCCAAGACGGCCCCCAGGAGGCCCAAGAGGGCCTCGTTCGAAATCATGTTCCCGGAAGCCTCTCCGGGAACATGATTTCAGGGTTCCCAGGACGCCTAAAGACAGCTCCCAGAGGCCCGGGACATGTCGAAGATGGCCTCAGGACGGCCGACGACGCCGCCAAAACGCTCCAAGAGCGCCTCCAGAGGCCCCTCCAAAGGGCCCCAGAAGCCGAAAAGCATTAATTTTCCACTGGTTTTTGAGGCATTCTTGCGCTCTCCCATGTTCCGCCTGCCCACGGTCCCGGACCGCGTCAGAGGCCCCTCAGATCGCTCCAAGACGGCCGAAGATGGTCCCAAGAAAGCCCAGAGACGGCCCAGGAGGCTCCCCAGATAAGTCAAGGGGGCCTCGAGAGCGCCCCAAGAGAGCCCCAAGAGCGACCCAAGAGGGCCCGAAGAGCGCGACATTTCGAGGTCTCCGGCCTGAGAGGCTCCTGGGACGCCCCCGGAGGCCATCAAGAGGCTCCCAAGAAGCCCCGTGATGCTCCCAAGAGGCCCCCCGGAAGCCGCAATAGGCCCCCAAGGGGCCCCCAGGGAAGCCCCCTGCGGGCCCCCAAGACACTTCGGTAAATCGTATTTCTCAGATAGCTTTCCGGCAACATAATTCCTTGGGCTTCCGCCCACCGCCCCAACCATGTTTCCAATAGGCTTGCCGACGCGGCCACAAGGCGCCCCTCGGTAAGCCCCCAGAGGCTCCCCTCTTAGAGAGCCGAACAAATCATGCTCCCGGAAAGCTTCCTGGGAACATGATTCTCTATCTCGGAGTAGGCCCCGGGGGGGGGGCGGGCGGGCCGCTGCCTGTTCCCCCCATCGGTGCCCACCGGGGTTTGCGGGGGGGGGTCCAGAGCTCCCGAGGCGGCCCGAGCCCGCCCCGAAGCAGGCCACGACAGGCTAAGGGGGTCCCGAGAGGGCCCAAGACGGTCCCACGAGGCCGCGAAGACGTCCAAGATGCCCTCAAGACAGCCGACGAGGACTCCAACACGCTCCAGGACGGACTCAAGAGGCTCCCCAAGAGGGTCCTGGAAGGTAAGATTCACTCGTTTTCCGAGTGTTTTGGACTTTGGCGTTCTCGCTTTTTCCGCTTTCCAGCGCTCCCCCACGGCCTCGGAGGCCCTTCAGATCGCTCCAAGAAGGCCCATGAGGCCCCGACGAGGGCCCCAAGACGGCCCAGGATGCTCCCCAGACAACCCAAGTGTGCCCCAAGAGCGCGCCAAGAGAAGGCCCAGAAGGGTCCCGAGGCGGCCCGGGCCCGCCCCGAAGCAGGCCACGACAGGCTAATGGAGGTCCCGAGAGGGCGCAAGACGGTCCCAAGAGGCCCCGAAGACGCCCAAGCTGCCCTCAAGACGGCCGACGAGGA